GGAGTAGACCCGTGCACCGCCTCGCATGTGAACCCCCAAGAATAAAACAAAGAAAAGGAAAGCCATACATGTATCTATTTGTCCATATTGAATAAGTGTGGCAAACGTGCGTTATTATTTATTGTTGTTGTTGTTGTTGTTTTTTTGCCATTTCCTGCCGGACTCTGAAGAGAGGTGGGGGGGGGGTCAGTCTTCCTTTTGTTGTTGTTGTTTTGGTTTCTTGTGGCGAATAGTGATTGCCTCCTTCTGCACTGACGTCCGCCTGCCCGTACGTGTTTGTGGGTGTGCGTCCCTCTCCACCTTTGACGTTGCAAGGCAATAAAAGAAATGATGTAGGGCAAAGTGCGTTGCTTTGAGTCGATTGCTCTCTTCTTGCGCGCGCGTTCCCTTAATCTCTATCTCTCTCTCTCTCACTCTCTGTTGGCGGCGTCGAGAATACGCAGGGCGCATCGCTTGGTTGGTTGAGTTGCTTTGGCGGTGCCCTCCTGGCTACTGTGTGTGTGTGTCTTGCCGCTTCCCTTTTCTCCCACACGCGCCTCCGCTCTACTTCCTGCTCTCTCTCCCTCCCCACCGCTCCCTCTTTTTTTTTTCCTGAAGCACGCGGGAGAATGCGGGGCGTGGGGGCGGTTGCACCACCCATGCGACACGGGCCCCTTTTTCTTGACGGCCACTCGCGTCGTGCCGAGGAGCAGCTGGCCTTCCAAGACAAGTACCACGACCGCATGGCGCGGCTCACCGGCGGTGGGGCGGACGAGAACTACGCTGCGTGGGGCTTGGATGAGCCTCGTGGCGGGCTCCGCGAGCCGGCTCCCGACTACTGGGCGGAGTATGCGAAGAAGCTCGAGCATTCGGGGCTTCCACGCCTTGGCGATGACAGCTCGCGGGCAAAGGCAGCGGCCCAAACGCAATCCCCGCCGCCGCGTGGGAGTTTTGACTCTCCACCCGACATGCGTCCTTCGCCTGGGCGGTGGGAGACGTACTCGGCGACGAAATCTCCGGCACGATTGCCGGAGGAGAGTGTCCTGCACCGTCTGGATTGGCTGGCACAGGAGAAGAGTGAGCCCAATTCCACAGAAGTTATCGATTTGCTCCGAGAAGTTGAGGAGGTCCTGGAGCATGAGGGCTCACAGAGGCGTGATGAGTCGCGCGTGGAAGTGCGTTCTCCTCTGACCGGCGCCTCTGCCACAAGCTGCTTGCCTGCGTCTCGTTTGCATGACCCTGGGCGGCCCATGGGAGTTCCTCCAGCTCCGCCCATTCCTACGAAGGCCGCGACAGTCTCCAACACCACCACCAACAAGAACAACAACATGGATGCAAATCTCACTAGTACTAGCCGTTGTCGTACTGCGCCACCAGCGACTACTCCAACAGCCGCCCCTTCATTCCAACATGTGTCGCAAGGTGCCTCCTCAGGGGCACCGCTACAAGGGGCGGACTGGAGTCAGGTGTCAAGGTGCCAACAGATGGAGTGGTACCGCACTTACTACGCATGGATGATGTACTACGCACAGTACTATGGGTCTCTGCTCGCCTCTCAGCAGCAGCAACATCAACACCAACAAAAGGAGAAGGAAAAGGTGTTACACAAGAATTCAAACAAACAGCAGACTAACCTCAAGGAGCTAAGTCGGGAGTATAAGAAATTGGCTTTGGAAGTCGAGCGCCTTAGTCAAAGCTTCTGGAGCCATGCGTCTGCGAAGGAAAGTGCCTCAACCCAATCCCCTTGTAGGGACAAAATGCAACGTAAAGGTCGACGAAGACCACCACCTCTGCATCCTGGAGAAGATGAGTATACACTCTACCGCTCGGACCGCGGTCACTCTTCTCTTCTTGTTCCTTCTCATTACTCGGATTCGGCTCCGCCGGATGATGAGGAGGAAGGCCCCATTCTTGCTCAGACGACTCCTGCTGCGGCGGCTTCCAAGGCGGGACTCGGCCCAAGGGCACGTCTGCGCCGAGACTCGTTGGGCAGACGAGGCGAGCTGGCACGTGGAGCCTCTCAACTGGACGCCCCAGAGAAGGTAAAGGCATTCTATGGCCGACGCTCGGATATGCCTTGGCTTCCGCCACAGCGGCAATCACCTGACGCAAACCACGCTCCGCTCGCTCCTCGGCCAACTGGTCGTGACATCTCCTGGCTGTACAAGTACGAAGAGAGCGAGGCGGAGAAGAAGTCGCGGTCTGACACCGATGAGGAAGGGGCTTGGGGCCGTGACGACGAGGAGCAAACTTCAGACCCCCCGTTGAGTCAAGAGGGCGGAAGTGCGCTGCCTCCCAGTTCCTCGCGGTATGACTTCCAAGGGCCTGGGAGGCAGAAAGAGGGGCGTTCGTCTGTCTACGAGAGACGGAGGAGAGAGTTAGAGCAGGAGAAACCACGCTGGTGCTTTTGAGAAGAAAGTATCAAGCAAGGATAGAAAAGAACACATACACGCAAAAACGAGAGAGAGAAAAAAAAGAAAAAAAAAAGAAACGTTGTACGTGGATGGAGAGACATGTGCGTGTTTGTGTTCTTGCCACTGCGGGGGGAAGTTGGGGTGGCATGTAGTTTTTGCCTTGCTTTGTTGCTCACCTGCCAAAGCCTGTTGGTAGGCTGACCGCAGTTTGTTTCCTCGCAGTTGTATTTGCTTCCCTTCACCATTTCCGTGGTAGGTGGCGCGGCGTGGGCCTCACTGTCTTATTTCCCGCTTTCTCTGCATACACGTTTTTTCCCCTCCCTGTCGCAAGGAAGAAAGCTTTTTCCAAAAAAAAAGACCAGCAACAACAATATAAAAAAAAAAGAAGAGGGAGAGAAAGAGCGAGACCAACTCCCTCTTTTCTTCTTATCTCTCTCTCTCTCTCTCTGTTTGTGCGTGCGCATATTCTGTCTGCAAATGGCGGCATGGGCGGATGATTTTGACCCCTCGCTCGAGGGCGGGTTTGCCGACGAAACTTCGTTCCCCTTTGAAGACGGGGCCGACGTCCGCGCGGCCGACAACGAGAAGCTGGCGTGGGAAAACGCCAAGCTTGTTGTTGAGACCATCACCGACAGCGAGAACAAGCGGTACGAAATTGTGAAGAAGGTCCGGACCTACCATGTGGACCGCCCCGTCACAGTCGTAGATGTCCGCGCCAGGTGGAAACCCTTTGGTAAGAGCAGCGACGATAACCACGAACTCGTCTCACGGGATCCTCCTATTGTATTAGAGTTGGGCGAAATCGACCCATTTGAACGCGTGGCGCGTGACGAAGTAGTGCGCCTTATGAACGAGTTGGAGCGTATGAAGATGGACGTCACCGACCCCCGCCTGGCCCGCTTCGCGAAAATCAAAGAGGAACAGGAGAAGGCTGCGATGTTGGAGGACGCGCAGACGGATCAGCCGAAGGAGCGCACGTGGGCTGCCGCCAGGGGAGAAAAGACGTCGGCACAGCGCAGCGAAGACACGGATCGGCGTCTGCGCATCACAAACATCTCGGATGACATTACCGTGGACGAGCTTTACAACATCTTCCACACCAACGACTACAGAATTGAGAAGCTGTTTCTTCCCACAGATAAGGAAACGAAGAACTACAGAGGGTTTGCCTTTATTACATTTGAAACCCCTGAACAGGCTGACCGCTGCCTTAAGAAGACTAAAGGTGTGGCACGTTTTAAGAATACGGTGATGCACATCGTGCGCGCCCTTCCGGAAGCTGAGCGGAAGCGGAATTGAGTAGCGCAACGAACGAAAGAAACTGCTGGACCGTCATTGTAATCAATTTAAGAGTAACGAGCTCCACAGTGAAGGCGGAGGGAGGAAGAAAAACAACAAACCGAAAAAAAAGAAGGAATACTCCGAGCATTTTTCTGGAAGATTTTTAATTAGCTCCTGGCGGAATTTCTTGATAAGTCTCCTCTCCTAGCCATGAGTAGTGACTCTGGAGCCTGACAGTTGTAATATTTATTCGTTATCGCTTTTCTAGTTTGTTTAACTATGATCGATTTTTTTTTTCTCTAAACCCTTCTTTTTTGTTTTGCTTTGCCATGTGTCATACCCGATCAAGATTAGCGTGTGTGGCGTAGCCCCCCTCAATCGTCAATGAGTAGATCACCAAGCGTCGATTATCTTTCCCAGCGCTTCCGCGAAATGTCGCGGCAGCGTGACCGTTTACTGAACGACGGGAACCGAGCTGCGGCCAACACGGATGAACATTACTACTCATTCAAAGTCACGGAGAGAAGGGGAGATTCCACCTATGAACTCCGCCGCCACTTCCCTTACCGAAGTTTTCCCCGTGGTGGGGGCTTATATATCCCCACGTCACTCCCTGAAAGGCAGCCAAGGAGATGCAGAGGAGATGTCTTGAGCGACGATGAGCGTCTTCCGTCTTCGTACAGGCACGTTTCCTTGGCAGCTAGGACGTATCTCGCAGACAGAGCCGTTTGTGGTGGGAGAAATCGCGGACCCAGATGCCGTTGGGTCATGCCGCCCAGCGACGAGGATCAACTCCGCAAGTCAACGTTTGATACTCAAGGCCATTCTCGCCCTGATGTCACCTCCTTCTCCACCCCATCCCAGCCTTTTTCGCAGCCTTCGCCCAGTTCACTTCTTCTTGCGCTCGTAAAGGATGTGGCACTTCGTCGTGGAGTTTGTTCGCCAGCGATTCCCCCAGAAGTCGTTATTGCATTTGAGAACTGCGTGAGACGCGGAACTCCCATGCTGAAATTTGTTCTCCATGACGCTCCGCACGAACGTTTCTTTATGATCAAGTTTCTTGATCCCAAAGTGTACGGGGCGGAGGCTGGGCCGGTGTTGTGTTGGTACACGAATGCGCGGAGTTCCACAGTGCGGCGCTATTTGCCATTAGCAAATCTTATTGCAGCGATTGACGGCGGCGATGGTCATCCTGCCGTCGAGAAACGCATGGTGAGACCCGGGGTGATTAAAGGTGCCGCGTTTAACCTGAAGGCAAATTATCTGGGAGCAGATCACATCCTTCAGTGGCATTTTAGCTCTCCAGCAGGAGAGGAGGAACTGCTGGCGGTCAAATTGTTGTGCAAAAAGTCATACGTAGCCTGGCGTATAGTGACCGAGTTTTTCAGTAAGACTGGTTCTGTTCTGATGCCGTCAATGTAGAATGAAGGAAAAGAACAACAACAACAAACACGAGATGAGAGGTGGTGATGGAGGTTGTTTGCTGTTTCCGCAGCGGGATCAATTGATGCATACACTGTTCTTTTTATTCTTCTGCCTCTCCGCGTGGAACAAACGAGGCACGCCTCTATCTCTGTGGCCCTCGTATTAGATACCTTTCTTTCCTCTCTACGGAGGCACACGAAGCCAGCTATCAAAGTTGTCGCTTTTTTTTTTGCCCCCTCCTTTTTTATTGTTGTTGTTGTTGTTGCTGTTACCACCAGAGCTTGTCACGGCGTGTGCATGTCTATTCTGCCTTCGATTCTTGTACTCTCCATTTGTTTCTCACACGCAGTGTGCAGGCGTGCACAAAGAGGAAGAGTGTCTCTCCGATCGTCTTGGGTGCCTTTTTTATACACCACACGCTTGAGTCGTACCCCCTCTTTTCACTACGGTGTGCCTCATGTCGTTGTGTTGTTGCGGTTGTTTCTGCGTGTGCATGGCTCCGGCTTCCCTTCTTCGTGGACCATCGCCTTCTTGCTGCTGACACTCCTTCGAAACTTCTCTTCCCATCTCTCTCTTTTTTTTTCTCCTCTCTCTCCTTCTCTCTCGTTATGCGTTTGTGCTTTGCTGACTCGAAAGCGCAGCTACCTTGCTTTGGGAGGCCTTGAAGTGCAAGTGTAGGGACACAAAGAAAGGACTAGCGGAGGGAGGGAGAAAATACAAGCCGAAGTATTAGGAGCATAACCCACTTTCGCCTCAGTGCTGTATTGATATTGCCGACTTCACTGTCAGCGTCTTTTTTCGGAAGTGATTAAATAGAGCAGGAGTTTTTTTTTTGCTTTTGATTTTCGTTAGACGGTTTGTACACTCAAAGGAAGGAGGAAGAAAAACCGTACAGGCACGAGTAGGGAACAAAAAAAGAAATAAACATAATGATTAGAGTATCATTAAGCGAATTGCGGGAACATTTGGGTAGCCCATGGGGGCTTATTATCTTCTATGTCTTTATGAACAGCCTCGCAAGCTCAATATGGATGAACAATGCTTGGACGCCACTTATATATAAAGTCTTCGGAAACAGCAATCTTTACGTTGGACTCATGTCGGCTCTGAATGGAATGACGCAAATGTTTTTTGCCATATTGGGTGGCCACTTGGCTGATAAAGTGATTGGTCCATCACGTACATTGATTTTTGCAGTGCGTTTTGGTGTTTTTTCACTACTTTTTAATGTCATTTCTGTATGGAGTGGCAACCTCTACATGTTGATAGTGGCACAGATACTCTATGGCGTATACCTGGGTTTGAGCGTAACCTCAGTGGAGTCTGTCTTTGCGCAGTGCATCAAACAGGGTGAGCGAGACCGGGTGTACGGCGTGAAATTCAGCTTTGAGGCCTCAGGGCCTGTGGGAGGACTTGTCCTTTCCCTCATTCTTTTTGCCCTCTTTGGAAACACGTGGCGCGTTGAAGTCCTGCAGTGGGTTATTACCACTGGGATTTTGGTGCATCTTTCTTCGTTGCAAGTGTTTCTGCTTTACTTTAAACCGCTCCCAAGCCACCTTGACCTCTCCTCCAATGGTGCTAACGCCGTCGAGGCCGAGGAAGTGGACGTCTCAGTGCAGTGCAAGCAGGAGGAGGCCCGTTCCACGCACATTGACGAGGAAATTGTCGTTTACGCCACGAGCGAAACCGTTGTTTCTCCTATCTCCTCAAGCTTAGAGGTCAGGGACGAAAGTTCAGAGCCGCAGTTTCCTTCGGCGTGTGCGCCCGGGTGCGGCTTGGAGGCAGCAAAGGAGAGGCGGGGTTGTAAGCGGTTTTTTGTAATTCCTGTGGAAAAGTACCCATACGTGGTTGTCTTGGCCGATCTAGTGGTTACCCTGGGAAGTGGCATGACAACGCAGTACTTTGCGCTCTTCATGATGAATATTTATTTTGTTTCGCCAGTCGGGTTGTCTGCGCTTGGTCTCACGATTGCAGTGTTGATATCCGTGCTTGCTATCGTCAATTCCCACTTGGGGAGTACGATTGGAAGAACACGGGCACTTATTTTACCAAAGCTATTGGGGTCGCTTATTTTGCTTTATATGGCTCTTGCAAGACAGACCAGCGCGGGACCGAAGTGGCTCATGTGCATTGCGTATGTGTTGCGAATGGCCGTCATGAATTCCACTACCGCTTTGAGTAGGGCTCTCATAATGGACTTTGTCTCCGAGGAGCGTCGAGGCATGTGGAACGCGCTAGAGTCTGTTCAATCTGCATCGTGGTCCGGTACGGCTCTCGTGGGTGGTTACATTGCAGATCGACTGGGTTATGGTGCAGCCTTTATTGTTACCTTCTTCTTTCACATGACGGCCTGCATGATGCTTGTCCCTTGTACACTAAAGAATGACACTGTGCTGGCATCAAGATTGGATAGGAGGGGTACCGTAAAAGGTCCCAAGGCAATGACGCGTGTGTCCGAGACGCCGGAGGGAGGTGCGACAACGCTCAGTGCAGACAATATTGTCGTGCACGGTGCGACGCCGGAACAAAAGGAGGAGCTAATAGTAGCAATAAACTGAGAGTGGAAGCAGGAGTCGTAATGGATTGATGATGACATGAAATCACCAAACAGCCTTCTGTAATGTATTGTTGTATTTTTTGCGTTACTTCTCAGACGGTGTGTGTGTTTTTTTATTTTATGTGTGTTTGCGTGGGTTTGTTGTGAGTGCTCTATTCGTTTGTCCTACTCTCCTTAGAATTGAGCGGGAATTACCAGGCATACCACGAATAAAAAAAGAAGTTGTGAAGTATATATATATATATATATATGTATGTATAATTATCTCTCCCTCCTTATTTTACTTGCGTTCCTTTTCTCGCCCCCTCTCACTCTCTCCATAACGCGCCCATGCGTGATGTATGGACGCTGAAGGGGGAAAATAGGCGGAGGATTGTTTTTTTTTTCTCTTCCCCCCATCTGCCTAATGAGTTTTCCATGTGGCCGCATTTTGCCACGTGCCGCAGCGGCCATAAACTCTGCAAATTTTGTTGTTGTTGTTGAAGGGCCGCTTGTCGTTGTTGTTCTTGTTTTATTGTTAAGGAGTGGCCCTTCTGCCTCTGCGCGTGCGGCTGCTGGGCGGGAAATCAACTTCATTTGTCCCGGACCTCCTGAAGATGGTACCGCTCAAACAAAGCCCGACTGCCGTCACTGCAAGCCAACAACGCGTCGAAGAGGCTAATTGCTGGCTTTTGAATTTTCTCTTTGCGAGGTACTGAGCCCCCCGGTGCTGCGGCAAGGTGGGCTGTGCGTTCGCCAAGGTGCAGCGTGAGGAACGCACGAGCATATGTGTACCCTCCCTGCATATATACATATATATATATTTCCTGTCCTTCTTCTCCCCTCCCCTCCCCTATGTGATTGCCCTCACTCTCTTTTTCCCCTGCTTTAGGAGCGAAAGGCAGATTGTCTCTCATACATCTTCCAGTTTCCTTGCAAAATTACTCGAAAAGAAGAATAAGGAGAGAGAGAGAAAACAAACAAAAAAATAGGCGGTGTCGCGCCCTAACCCCTCATGCCATTCCGTTTCCTTGTTGTTTTCTGCGTCTTGCTTGGGCTGCTGCTGGGCCCAGCGGTGGGCGAAGCCCGTGCCCCCACCGTGCCGCGGACGGAGAAAAAATACCTTATTCACATCCAGCCACTTACGGAGGGCCTTGACGACGTGGGTGAGCAGCCGACCCTGGTGTCGGTGACGGAAACAACGGCTCTCTGGTTGCCGCGTGGCTCGGCTGAAGATAACGATGAACACCTGACTTTTAATGAGGATTTGGACCCTTTTTGGGTGTACGTCCTGCGCCGCCGTCGATTTGAATCGCTGGAGTGGTCGGGTTGTGGAGGGTCGTGGCGCCCCGACTGGAGCGTGACACTCGTCGATGCTAATTCCTCCGTCAGCGAAAGTACAAGAAAACTCATTTACGACCTCTCACAACATGCAGTGTGCTACTTTTCAGGGCTTTCCGCCTGTGGGTGGACTGAGCAGGAGGCCAGGGGCGACAATGACGGCAACGCGTCTTTAAGCCACGATATTTTGGCCCAACGTCATCATCAGTGGCTGGCGCAGTTTGTTTCCTCTCTTTTGTCGTCACCCTTAAGTTGGTCGAAGGAGACACCGCGGCACGTGCGCCCTGTTGGTGTGCTTCACTCCGTCCCCGGTGGTAGCGGTGCCGCTGCAGGTTTGGGGAGTCGCCATTGGTGCTCGTACCATCTTGCTCAGCATGACACGATGTGTACACAGCACGTCGCCACCATTCTTAGCGGGGGACGCAGCGGCAAAGGTAGGGAGGAGCACATTCCAGAAGGGATCTTTCGGGCGGGGTTGGTCACAGTGCAAGACTTTTTCTCCTCTTGTTTTCATCACTTTCACTTTGGCGTATCGCAGTCAGCAACGCCAGTGGAAAACACGGCTGAGGAGACGGAGATTCAACTCCTTGTTAGGATGGCATTTGTTGCTCGAAAAAGGGATTTTGACGCCCTTGCGCGCCACTGGAGAGAGTCTCTTCCTAGCTATGCTGAGCGTCTCACGTTCTTTGTGGGACCTCACGTGAGTGCGACACTTCGGGGCGCTGTAGAGTCCGTGTCCGCCTCCCTTCATGCTACGGATGCGCCTGGAGGCGGCGAGGCCTTCGCGAGGGAGCGGCGAAGTACTGCGTCTGAGCCGACACCCACAGCTCACTACTACATCTCCAAGGTGGGACACGACCGGGGGACGTATCGACTGGTTATACATCCGCCGATAACAACAACTACCACCACGGCAAATGCGGGTGGTGGGCAAGCAAGTGAGCGCTGGCATGGATTGAATGTGGGGGACACCTTAGATTCGCTACTTATTTTCCCTCTTCATGTTTTTCGTCCATCTCTCCATGAAATGTACTCCGGCCCGGACGCCTTGTCGAGGTTAGAGAATGCATTTTTTGACGGCGATGCCAATGTTCTTTTTGTGTTGGTGAAAACGGTACTTACAAAGGCTCATTTGCGGCACCAAAATGGAGGTGCAAACAATACAACGCCCCACGGCCTTGTCGTATGTGAGTTTCCGTTCAGGTTTGGCTGGGCTGCTCTGAAGGACATGCCCCATGACGCGAACAGCAATCGACTTCTCCCACAACCCGTCATTCGTGTTGGTCGACGCGTTGAAGCAGCAGGACCAGAAGGCCTCACCGACACCGCCTCCACGCGTAGTTATAATGCGAATTGGACAGGGCGTTGCACGGCTTCGCGGTGTGCTTCGTTCGCCTCTATGCGAATTGATCACCAGACTTCGCTAGAACGCCTCATGGACTCGCTTTCCCGCAACCCTTCTCGAAGTGAGAGCGGGTCCTCATGCTTCTGCTATTACTGGCTTCGTTGTAGCAATGTTGCAGGCACCACTATCCCTGTTCCTGACCCAGCGATGGTATTTAACGTCATTTCGTTAGGACTGATCTTCACTGGGGTATTGTCAGCTGGTGTAACGCGCATCACACGGTTGTTGTTCGACAGAGAGGCGGAGGAAGACACAGCTTCCTCGAAGCAAGATTTTTAGTAAGCCGTTCCATTTTTGCGTCTCGAAATATATATATGTATATATTCTTGAAGCGTGTTTATTTACTGAACACCACTGTTGCAAGAACAACTCTTTCCCGCCTTTGCATATTTTTGTTTTGCGGTTGTTTTGCGCCTGTGCATGTGTGCTTGTTGTGCATGGACGACGAAGGACGGGGCGGTGGAAGTGAGTTGACTTTCGGCTTCCTTCCGATGTTTGTGTTGTTGCTGCCTTGTTTGTTTGTTTGTTTTTTCCTCTTTCCCACCGCTTTGCTGTGGGGTTTTGCTTCAACCGAAATTTCCAAGCGTTGTATTCTCCTGCTCCCTCCTCCTCCTCCCCGGAAGGGGTGTTCATGCTGCTTTTTAACTGGTGTGTGTTGCTTGCCGCTCTCGCATGCCTGCTGACGAACACCTCGCCCGTTAGACCCGCGGAGGCTGCGGGGGATTCTTCCGATGCATCCCCGTACGCTTGGATGCGAATTGCAGTTGCGGAGGGGAGACGCGCTCCGTGACCTCGTAATGGCACGGAGGCGTTCTTGGCGGAGTTTCGGCGCCAATTTGGCCTTCCCGTGTCGACGGGTATTAAAACCTCCGATGTCTTCGATACCTGCGTTTTAGCACTCATGGGCACCGGCAGCGACGCTGTGTCGCTTTGCAGGCGTATTGTGCAAAGTGTCAACGACGCGACGACGTCGCGTAGAGCGTTTCTGCATGAGAGCAGCATCGTTGGATGGAGGCACGGGTATTTACCTGTTGAAGGGCCAGCGTATCTGCTACTCTCCCAAGCTTCCTCAAGCACGCCATCAATGTTGGTGGGCTATCGAGTTATCGGGGCCACGGCGGCGGCGCTGCTGCTGGCTAAGTTGGCCTATGGTTTTTACCACTTCAAGGGGCTTGCTTTCATAAGGGCATCTGAGCAGGAGGAGCTGAGTTGAACCGTGTAGGGCATCCTGTACGCCTGCGGAAAAAAAAAACACAACAAAAATCAGGGGCTGGTGGTGGGTGGGGAGCATGAGGGAAAACGCGACCCTACGTTTGAGTTTGTGCGAGTGAGATGTCGTGGGGAGTACATGTCCCTTGTGGGTGTTTTTTTCGCATGAATAAGAGCAATGCCACT